TCGCCATTTAAGGAAAGAAATCAGGCACCGGACACTGTCTACCTCCCTATCCATAAGGAGAGGGAAACCCCCCCCCCGTGGCTCCTCTGAACTCCTCAGCCCGCGCTCACCTGGGGCTACCGAAGCGTAAGATCTGCGTAAAGGGTGGGGAAAAGCCATTCTCCGGCCTCCCCGCCTCCAGCAAACCAGGCAAGGGAGGAAAATTCACATCCCCCTCTGCGGTTCTTTGCCCTCCACGGCTTTACCAAGCAGGGACACCTCTGCCCAGGGGCAAACAGGGACACAGGGAATATCAGCCAGGGCAGGGAAAGGGAAGAAGGGCTCCATCCTGGCGGCGTGGGCACAGCGACGCTCGGTTTGCCAGCTATTTATCCATCAGAAGAAACAAAAGGACCGCTCCCCAAAAAGAGTGCCTCCTCGCCATCCTTCACCCGAGAGAAGGGCAGATCCAGCTGCACGACCACGCGGCGATCCCGGGTTCGGCACCGGCCAACGGAAAAGCCGCTCGCAGGGAACCGCAGAGGCAGCCGCAGCTTTTAGGAGCGGTGGGGAAGATTTCTTTACGGGAGAAGAGTTTTCTCCCTTTTTGTTCCGTCCCAGAGCTCTGGATCTGCTTCAAATTTAGGGCAAAACATTGCCAAAAACCAAAAAGCACCTCCCTCCCCTCCCTCCCCAGTCCATCCCGCTGCAGGGCGGCAGGAGACAGAGCGCTCCCAAAAACCCCACCACGCTCTGGGCGCTCCTTTTCCAACCCGTGATTTGCGGGGTCTCGGTCCAAAAATAAAGCCTCCTGATAAAGACTCTTGCTTTCTTTACTCACGCTTCCCAGACCACAGATAAAAACCCGGCCAGCGTCCTGCGAACCGCAGCCTCCGGCCCTGGGTGGCGAATCCTGCTGCCTAAACCCGGAGCCTGACAAGGAAGAGGAGAGATAAGATGACACCCACGCCAGCGGCACACCGGTTGCTCCGTACAGCTCCTCCTTTGAACTCCCAACGCCCCGCCGAGCTGCGGGAGCGATCGCATTCCCGGTGCAGCGTTACCGGAGCCGGGACGCAGGTGAGACATCTCCCAGACCTGTAACACAACGCTTTTTGCGGAGACAGCCCCAAATTCACCCACATTTCTTCCTCCCCCCCCTCCGCTTTCGCAAAACCCAACCTTCGCCTCCCCGTCCCCTCTCGCCGCGCAGCTCCGTAGCACTTTTCCCCACCGAAATCTGTATTTTTGGGAATGGCACATCGGCCCTGCGGACGCCTCAGTTAACTCCCAGACCTGTAACACAACGCTTTTTGCGGAGACAGCCCCAAATTCACCCAC